AACAAAAAATACTTAATCCAGAAGGTAAGAAAGAAGACAGAAAGAATAGACAGGGTGACAAAATAAAGACCAATAAATAGTAAGATAGTAGGTCTAAACCCAAAATTGTCTGTAATTATATTAAATATAAATGGACTAAATACTCCAATTAAAACACAAAGATGGTCAAGTATGGCCCACACTTTGGGAGGCCAAAGTGCAAGGACTGTTTGAACTCAGGAGTTCCAGAACAGCCTGTGCAACACACAGACTTTGTTTCTACAAAATTTGAAAAAGTTAGCTGGGCATGGTGGCATGCCTCTGCATTCTCGGCTACTCGAATGGCTGAGATGGGAGGATCGTTTAAACCCAAGAAGCTGAGGCTTCAGTCAGCCATGATTCTGTCACTATACTCCAGCCAGGGCAACAGAGCAAGATGCTGCCTTTAAAAAAACAATATCAACTCAAAATGGATTAAAGATTTAATCCTTTTCCTATTTGCCCTGAGAATATTCACCAGAGGCACTTTTGCAGCTGCAGCATTTACCCCAAGATATCTTTGCCATGAACTATCTTGCTTTTATATCTATTTTCACATCACCATTGGTGTATCAACTTTGGAGAAAAAAGACATCATTCCATTTATAGCATTCTGTTTTTAGTAGCGGTATTTCCATTTACAAAATATAGTGATTCTCAACTGCTGAAAATGCCAAATCCTAGAAAAAGTAGCATTCCTATGTGTGATGTTAACATCGTCCTCAAACAGTTGTTGGCTAGAGATTCATTTGATGAATTCTATTTTTCTGAAACAGATGATTCTGATGATTCAGATGATTCTGATGTTAGTTCTGCTTAGAAATAACTCCAAGAACAGTTTTTATATTTTATTTTCACATTGAAAATCAGTCAGATTTGCTTCAGCATCAAAGAGCATGTTTATATAAAATTAAATGAGTGCTGGCAGTGAGCTGTACTTTTTTTTTTTATTTCTGAAAGGGAAAAAGGTTAAATGTAAGACTTGAAACTATGAAACTACTAAAAGAAAACATTGGGGGAACACTACAGAATACTGGTCTGCGCAAAGAAGTTTTGAGTTCAGCCTCAAAAGCACAAGCAACAAAAGCAAAACTAGACAAATGAGATTGCATAAAGCTAAAAGGCTTCTGAACAGCAAAGGAAACAGAGGGAAGAGACAACTTACAGAATTGGAGAAATATTCACAACCTATACATCTAACAAAGGATTAATAACCACTATCTATAAGGAACTCAAACAACTCAACAGCAAAAAAAACCCAATCCAATTTAAAAATGAGCAAAAAACCTGAATAGACATTTCTTCAAAGAAGACATAAAATGGCCAAGAAATACACAAGAAGAAATGTTCAACATCACTAATAATCAGGGAAATGCACAGAGAAATCACAATGAGATATCATCTTACCCCAATTAGGCTAGCTATCACCAAAAAGACAAAAAGTAACAAATGCTGACAAGGAAAAGGAGAAAGGGGAGTACTTGGACACTGCTGGTGGGAATTAAAGAAGTACAGCCATTATGGAAAACAGTATGGAGTTTCCTTAGGAAACTAAAAACAGAACTACTATGATGTAGCAATCCCATTTCTGGGATTCCCAATAGAAAGGAAATCAGTATATCAGAAAGAAATCTGCACTCCCATGTTTACTGCAGCACTATTCACAATAGCCAAGGTTTGGAAACAACCTAAGTGTCATCAACAGATGAATGCATCAAGAAAACACCAGCTATATACACAATGGAATATTATTCTGTCACAAAAAAAGAATGAAATCCTGTTACTTGCAGCAATGTGCATGTTAAGTGAAATCATTATGTTAAGTGAAATAAGCCAGGCACAGAAGGACAAATATTACATATTCTCACTCATATGTGGGAACTAAAAAGGTGGATTTCAGGAAAGCAGAAAGTAGAATGATAGTTACCAGCTGCTGATGAAGAAGGGCAGGAGGATGACAAGAAGCTGGTTAAGGAGTACAAAAATACAGTTAGATAGAAAGAGTGAGTCCTAGTACTTGACAGTACAGTAGGGAAATTATAGTTAACAATAATTTATTGTATATTTCAAAATAACTAGAAGAGAAGAGTTGTAAGGTTCCCAACACAAAGAAAAAAAATCTTTGAGGTGGTGGATAGCCCTCTTACCGATTTGATCATTACATACTGTATACAGATATCAAAATATTATATAACCTCCAAAATATGTACAACTATTATATATCAATTTTAAAAATAAGAAAAATAAAAATTAAAAAAGCTACTAATTACAATAGCTTCAAAAAGTATCAAATACCTGAGAATAAACAAACATATAGAAGATATCTTTGCTGAAAATTATAAAGCAGCATTCAAAGACATTGGGACCTAAGTAAATGAGGAGAAATATAATGATCATGGTTCAGAAAACTCAACATTATAAAAGAGTTCATTTTGAAAATGATCGATAGATATAAAAACTCTAATAGAAATCCGAATAAAGGGGGATATTTGCTTTACTAAATATCAAAACTAGTACTTATTTGTGACACTAATATAAATAACACAATTCAGTATTGGCGCAGGGACAAACAGGCTAAAGGAATAAAGTCTAGAAATACACCTGTGTATATAAGGGGACTTGCTTACAACAAAGATGAATAGAGAGCAGTGAAGAAAAAAATGATCTTTTCAAACACTGACACTAGATTAACAAATATCTATGGGGAAAAAGAAACCTAACCCCTATCTTATAACAAGTACCAAATCGATTCTAGGTTTAAAGGTGGCAGGTAAGATAACAAAGCTCTAGAACAGCATTGTCCAATGGAACTTTCTTTGATGACAGAAATGCTCTCTATCTACACCATGCAACATGGTAGCTACTAGTCTCATGTGGCTGTCCCACATTTGCAAAGTGTTACTGCAACTAAAAAATTGATTGTTTCATTTTTATTTCATTTCAGTTGGTTTAAATTTCAAATTAAGTTTGAAATTTGATTTGAATGTGGCTAGTAGCTACCATACAGGATAACACAGCTGTACAAGAAAACATATTTATGAACTTGGAACAAAGATTTATTTTTCTCTTTTCTGCATTACAGCCTCAGTCTGCTAAATCCAACATCTAGAGTATTTAAGAGTTGGTTTCTAATGATTGCTTTTTAAATTTTATTTATTTATTTTTTTTGAGATAGAGTCTCACTCTGTCACCCAGTCCAGAGTGCTATGGTGTCATCTCAGCTCACTGCAACCTCTGCCTCCCAGGTTCAAGTGATTCTTCTGCCTTAGCCTCCCAAATAGCTTGGACTACAGGCATGCACCACCATGCCTGGCTAATTTTTGTATTTTTAGTAGAGATGGGGTTTCAACACATTGGCCAAGCTGGTCTCAAACTCCTAACCTCATGAATAATCTGCTTGCCTTGGCCTCCCAAAGTATTGGGATTATAGGCATGAGCCACCACGCCTGGCCAAATAGGGGTCACACTTTCCTGTTCCTTTACACATCTAACGTATTTTCTTTTAATTGTATACTATATGTTGTGGATGATACAAAAAAGAGATTTTGGATTCTTTTTATCTTTTCTAAAATGGGCGACTTTTCTTCTGGTAGGCAGCTCAATTATTGCTTGATCACTTTGAACGTGTATAGACCTCATTTTGTGCTTTATAAGGGTAGAACTCCAAACTGTCTCTTCTTCAGATTTTTGTCTTTATGATCAGCCTAAACTGGAGTAGCCCTTCCTCTTATCTAGGGCATGGCCCTTGATTCTAGAATTTGGCTATTCTGGTTAAAAAGTGTGAATGAGGTGTTACCATTATGGTTGGGTCAGAACACCAAGACAGTGCTTGACCTCTTCTATCTTTGTTCTGCTTTCAACCCATACCACTCTCTCTGTTAAGCCTCTAGTAGCTTTGCCCTTTTTATGTGCAGCCCATTTCTCAGCCAAAGATTAATGGAGTCTCCACAGAGTCCTCTGGGAAGCCCCCTTCTGCACAGCTCTCTTCTTCACATATCAGTAAGAAAAAGGCAGCCCAATAGTGGGCAAGAGATGCAAACTGGTCTGTCACAAATAAAGGATATTCAAATATCCAATTCACACTGAAAAGACACCACAGAAGTCACTATGATGGCATACAACTGCACAGCCATCAGCATGTCTAAAGTGAAAAAGACTAATAGTATCATACAAGTGGCAAATGATGTGGGATGATGAGAAATGTCATGTATTGCTGGTAGGATTATAAATGGTATCACCACTTGAAGAAGTTTGGTATCATCTGCCAAAGTAGTATATACTATAACCAGCAATTCCATTCCTAGATATGTATCCAGCACAAATGTGTATAGAGGTGCATAAAGAGACATGTACAAGAGTGTTAATACAGCATTGTTTGTGACTGTCAAAAATAGTTAATAATCTAAATGTTCTTCAAAAACAAAATGGACAAATTGTTTTTTTACTCATACAAGAGAATATCATATCTGTGTGTTTTCTTCTGTTTTTCTCTCCAAATTTCTCTCTCCCCATTTCTACCATGCTATCTGGAAGCAAAGAGAAGGAATGGATGGCATCAAGCATATAAGTGAAATGATTATTTAAAAATAAATAAAATACCCTTATTTGGAGCCCAAAGAGAAAGTCAGAAACTAGATGAAGGAACAGCTATATATTTGGTGATGGGATCTGAATATTCTTTATGAAGTATGAAGTAAGGATAAAGAATGGAGTCAAAAAAACTAATATTTCTTTCCTTTTTTAAAAAGCCAGTAGTATCATTAATAATGCCCAGAGAAATGTGAAATTCACAACTATTGTCAAAATCAAGGAAAAAAATCAACATTAATTTTTACCTATTCTATAAAGATCTTGCTTTTGCAGCAATGGTCTAGGACAATGTTTTACCCAGTCCTTGAAGCTAAAACCAAGAACATGTAACCAGTATTTATAAATTAAATGAATTAAAATACCTATAACATATAAGGAAACAAAATACTTACTTGGCTGACATGTGCTGGTGTTAAAATTAAGTCCAGAACTCCAGACCAGCCAGCAAATACACCAAGTGGTATGGCATATGCTAAAGCAATCATCAAAAATCTAAAATTGCTGTGAATGGGAAATAAAAGGAAGCATTATAACAAATTAAAAATCTAGAATAAACTCTTAGTCATGAAAAATGTATGTTATTTGGAAACTGGAACACCAGATCAGAAATAGAAAATATCTGCAGAATGGCCATTATTAAAAACCCAAAAAAATAACATGCTGGTAAGGTAGCAGAGAAAAGGGAACGTGTGTACACTGCTGGTGGAAGTGTAAATTAGTTCAGCCACTGTGGAAGGCAGTTTGGCAATTTCTGAAAGAACTTAAAACAGAATTACCATTTGACCCAGCAATCCCATTATTGGGTATATGCCCAAAGGAATATAAATCATTCTACTATAAAGACAGATGCACGTGTGTATTCACTGCAGCACTATTCACAACAGCAAAGACATGGAATCAACCTAAATGCCCATCAATGGTAGACTGGATAAAGAAAATGTGGTACGAATACACCATGGACGACTCTGCAGACATAAAAAAAGAACAAGATAACGACCTCTGCAGCAACATGGAGGGAGCAGGAGGCCATTATCCTAAGAAAACTTAACACAGGAACAGAAAAGCAAATACTACATATTCTCGCTTAGAAGTGGGAGTTGAACATCAAGTACATATGGACACAAAGAAGGGAAAAACAGACACTGGGGCCTACTTGAGGGTACAGGGTAGGAGGAGGGTGAGGATAGAAAAACTACCTATTAGATACTATGCTTATTATCTGGGTGACAATTTAAAAATAGATGAATAAATGTGTTCATGTCCTAGCAAATATTCTGATTAATCCAGGAGGCAATGATTTCGGGAATTCAATGAGAGAAGGGGGAAGCCCACAGAACTCCTCCGGAGATCCCAAAGGTAGAAGCTGGCAATCATGCAGAGTAAACAATAAGAGAAAAGACAAACGAATGTTAGGTACTGGTGAAAAAAGCTTTTTGTAGAGAAGGAAGATCTTATACTTTATGGTTTAAACAGAATGAAGAGTTTGACTCTATGGTAAATAGATGTAAACACAAGTCAAAGTGGTCGGAGGGACAATTGTAAGTTAACTATTTTTCCTTGTCAGAACAATCTTATATATAACTCCTTGGCTTAAAATCCTTCAGTCACTCATTATTTCCTACAGAATAGTCCAAAATTATTAGTACGTCATAATATGATCCCAATCTACTTCTCTACCTTTATCTATTGCTATATCTAACATCTGCAGCTAGGTTTGCATAGAAAAAAATTTACTTAAGTGGCATTGTTTAAAAAAAAAAGATCATTTTAAACTGTCATCTTACAAATGTGTGCCACTCATCACAATTCTACCTAACATTTTTTTTTAACGTATGATGTGAAAGGCAAAGTACTACGTGACATGCTGCAGAGAAGTGATTTTCAAAAACTTTTTACTATACCCCAAAGAAATTTATTTTTTTTGGTTACTTTGTGACCTACCCATGTATATGTAATGTATGCTGAAACAAAAGTCTAAAATAAACCATTATTACATGTGCTGCAATAATCTTTTCTATGCTATTTTATTCCATTCTATTTTGCTTAAAGAAAATGGCTGTCAACTCACTGAATTTCTTGGCTATAACCAAAGTTTGAAAAACGATATTACATAGCATTTGAAATGCAGCTAGTGCAACCAAGGAACTGAGCTTTTAATTTTATTTCATTTTAATTTCAATCTAAATGTAAAGCAGAGGCAGTGAAAAGTAGTTTCCATTAACCCTAACTCTGTTTGGTAGGATTACATTTTACTCTAGCAGCTGCAACACTAAGATATTATATAGTGCGCACGCCAGGGCATGTGTTGTTTCCAGTATTATAATCTATCACTGATCTTGGTGTTAATGAATGGGTTGAGTTCTAATTATTTTTTTCTACAAACGGATGGACATTGTAATTTGTGTATTTGAGTATTTCCTGCAGAAAGAAGAGACCAAAATAAAAGAAGGCATGTGCAAATTTCACAAGGAATAGCAATTACAATTTGCTGCAGCAGAGCAAAATAAAATGTCTGCTGTGGAAAAAAAGTTTAGAATAACTAAGTAAATAACATTAAAAGACATTTTAGCAAAGATATAGTGAATTTTATAGAAGTTTCTTTTCAATGATCAAAAAAGAATCAAGAAAATTAGTTGCCTGAAATCAGAATTAAATGTCCAACAAACATTTAAATGATTTTTCACAGATCTAGACTTACAATCTGGCCAGCTATAAAACGATTTGGGGCCAGGTACAGTGGCTCACGTCTGTAATTCCAGCACTTTGGAAGGCCAAGGCGGGCAGATCACAAGGTCAAGAGATTAAGACCATCCTGGTCAACAAGGTGAAACCCCCTCTCTACTAAAAAATACAAAAACTTTAGTTGGGCATGGTGGCTTGCACCTGTAGTCCCAGCTACGCAGAAGGCTGAGGCTGGAGAATTGCTTGAACCCCAGGGATGGAGGTTGCAGTGAGCCAAGATAGCGCCACTGCACTCCAGACTCAAAAAAAACTCCATCTCAAAAAAACAAAAAAGATTGTAAGATCCTTTATAATGATAGCAAATATCTGTTGATTCAAAATTTGAGAAACTGTCATTATTTACTTTTAACTTAGGATAAACTGTGCAATACAACAGACATTGCTTAGTGAATACTTTTTCAACTGTAAATTTAGCAATATCTAAAGTACTCCACTTAATTTCACTGGATATCAATATTTCCAGTAAAAAGTTAGTGTACAAATTGACATGTGCTGTAAATGCAAAATATCCACTGGATACCAAGGATTTTATATGAATAAAAGACTGTAACATATCTCATTAATAATTTTTAATATTGATTACATGTTAAAGTAATGTTTTAGATATGTTGGGTTAAATAAATATGCTACTAAAATTAATTTTATTCATTCCTTAAAACTAATTTTACTTATTTCTAGTTAATTTTACTTATTTTTCCTTTTAAAATAAGAGTATTAAAAATTCTTAAGATTTTTGTCCCAAATATACAGATAATGAAAACATTTTTTAAAAATTTCAATAGCTTTTGGGGTACAAATAATTTTTGGTTACACAGATAAATTGCACAGTGGTGAAGTCTGAGATGTTAGTGCACCCAACACCTGAGTAGTATACAGTGTACCTAATACGTAGTTTCTTAATCCTTCACTCCCCGCCATCCTCCCCATTCTGAGTCTCCAAAGTCCACTATACCAGTCTGTCTTTGCCTACCCATAGCTTAGCTCCCACTTATAAGTGAGAACATATAGTGTTTGATTTTCCATTCCTGAGTTACTTCACTTAGAATAATGGCTTCCAGCTCCCTACAAGTTGATGCAAAAACCATTTTGTTCTTTTTTATGGCTGAGTAGTATTCCACAGTGCATATATATTACACTTTCTTTACCTACTCATTGGTCGATGGGCACTTAGGTTGGTTCCATATCTTTGTAATTGCAAATTGTGCTGCTACAAACATGTGTGCACGTGCATGTTTTTTTTTAATACAAAGACTTCTTTTCCTTTGGGTAGACACCCAGTAGTGGGATTGCTGGGTTGAACGGTACATCTACTTTTAGTTTTTTAAGGAATCTCCTTACCGTTTTGAATAGAGGTGGTACTAACTTACATTCCTGCCAGCAGTGTAAAAGCATTCCCTTTTTACCACATCTGTGTCATCATCTATTGTTTTCTGACTTTTTAATAATGGGTATTTTTACAAGGGTAAGGTGGTATCTAACTGTATTTTTAATGTACATTTCCCTGATGATTAGTGATGTCAAGCATTTTTTCCTATGTTTGTTGGCTGTTTATATTTTCTGCTGAGAAATGTTTTCTGCTCATGTCATTTACCCACTTTTTGATGAGATTATTTGTTTTTCTTTTCTTGCTGATCTGTTTTGAGTCCCTTGTAAACTCTAGATATTAGTCTCCTGTCAGATACAGAGTTTGAAATATTTTCAACCATTCCGTGGGCTGTTTGTTTACTCTGATGATTATTTCTTTTGCTGTACAGAAGCTTTTTGTTAAATTAGGTCCCATTTATTTATTTTTGTTTTTGTTACATTTACTTTTGGGGTCTCAGTCATGAATTCTTTGCCTAGGCCAATGTCCAAAAGTGTTTCTCTGACAGTATCATCTAGAATTTTTATGGGTTGAGATTTTATATTTAAGTCTCTGATCCATCTTGAGTTGATTTTTGTATAAGGTGAGAGATAGGGATCGTTTCATTCTTCTACATGTGGCTTGCCAGTTTTCCAGCTCCATTTATTAAGTAGGGTATCGTTTCTCCAATGTTTTTGTATCCTTTGTTGAAGATTAGTTGGTTGTATGTATTTAGCCTTATTTCTGAATTCTCTATTCTGTTCCATTAGACTATTCCATTGACTGCTTTTATACCAGTACTATGCTGTTTTAGTAACTATACGCTTGCAGTATAATTTAAAGTCAGGTAATGTGATACCTCCAGATTTGTTCCTTTTGCTTAGGATTGCTTTGGCTACTTGGACTCTTTTTTGGTTTTGTATGAACTTTAGGATTTTTCTAATTCTGTGAAAAATGATGTTGGTATTTTGATAGGAACTAACTGAATCTGTAGATTATTTCGGGTAGTATGGTCATTTTCATAATGTTGATCCTTCCAATCCCTGAGCATGGAATGTGTTTCCATTTGTTTGTGTCATCTATGTCTTCTTTCAGCAGTGTTTTGTAGTTTTTGCAGAGATATTTCACCTCCCTGGATAAGAATATTCCTAGGTATTTTATCTATTTATTTATTTTGCAGCTATTGTAAAGGGGATTGAGTTATTCATCTGAATTTCAGCTTTGTCACTATTGGTGTAGAGCAGCGCTACCAATTTGTGCACACTGATTTTGTAACCTGAGAGTTTACTAAATTCATTTATCAAATCTAGGAGTCTTTTGGAAGAGGCTTTAGAGTTTTCTAGGGATATGATCACATCATTGGCAAACAGTGATAGTTTGACTTCCTCTTTTTCCAGTTGGGATGCCCTTTGTTTGTTTCTGTTGCCTGACTGCTCTGGCCAGGACTTCCGATACTGTCAAACTAAAGTGGTGAAAGTGGGCATCCTTGTCTTGTTCCAGTTCTCTGGGGAAATGCTTTCAAATTTTCCTATTCAGTATGATGTTGGCTGTGAGTTTGTCATATATAGCTTTTATTATTTTGAAGTACATCCCTTCTATGCATGCTACTGAATGCTTTTTCTGTATCTATTAAGACGTTCATATTGTTTTTGTTAATTCTGTTTATGTGATATATCACATTTGACTTACATATTTTAAACCATCTCTGGTATGAAACCTACTTGATCATGATGTATTATCTTTCTGATGCATTGTTGGATTCCGTTAGCTAGTATTTTATAAAGGATTTCTGTATCTACGATCATCAAGGATATTAGCCTATAGTTTTCTTTTTTGTTATGTCTTTTTCTGGTTTTGGTATCAGGGTGGAACTGGCTTCATAGAATGATTTAGGGAGGATTCCCTCTTCTCAATCTAGTTTTGGTATCAGGGTGATATTGGCTTCATAAAATGAGTTAGGGAGTATTCCCTCTTCCTCAATCTTTTGGAAGAGTTTCAGTAGGATTAGTATCAATTCTTCCTTGAAAGTCTGGTAGAATTCAACTGTAAATCCACCTGGCCAATCTGGCCATGGCCTTTTTTGGTTGGCAATTTTTAAGTTACTGAGTCAATCTCACAGCTCATTATTGGTCTGTTCAGGGTTTCTATTTCTTCCGATTTAATCTAGGAGGGTTGTATGATTCCAGAAATTTGTGTGTATAGAGGTGTTCATAGTAGTTTTGAATAATTTTTTGTATTTCTGTGGGGTTGGCTGTAATGTCTCCATTTTCATTTTTAATTGAGCTTATCTAAAGCTTCTTTTCTTGTTAATCTAGCTAATGGTCTATCAATTTTACATTTTCAAATAACCATTTTTTTGTTTCATTTATCTTTTGTAATTTTTGTTTCAATTTCATTTACCTCTGCTCTGATCTTTGTTTTTTTCTTTTTTTCTGCTAGCTTTGGTTTTGGTTTGTTATTATTTCTCCAGTTTCTTGAGGTGAGACATTAGATTGTCAATTTGTAATCTTTCAGACTTTTTGATGTAGGCATTCAGTGCTATAAACCTTTCTCTCAGAGCTGCTTCTGCTGTATCCCAGAGGTTTTAATAACTTACATCACCATTACTGTGAATTTTAAATAATTTAATTTCCATCTTGATTTCATTGTTAACCCAAAATCATTCATGAGTAGACCGATTAATTTCCATGTGTTTGTGCAGTTTTGAGGGTTCCTTTTGGAGTTGATTTCTAGTTTTATTCCACTCTGGTCTGAGAATATACTTGATATAATTTCAATTTTTAAAAATTTATTGAAGACTACCAGAAAATGTAAGATTACTTATGTGGCTTGCATTTTATTCCTATTGGACAGTGTAACTACAGCATATAAAAAGACATAGATACTACTTCTTGACCACAAGAAACTTACCATCTGGGGAGAGGAACCCAAGAAAAGAAAGAACCAATTTAGACAGAGTTGTTGATAATCAATAAAAACTCATCACAACTAACTGTAAAAAAATTTTCAAATGACAAAGTATAGTGATCCAATTGCAAATCATAATCAATAGTGATGTTTTATATATCCCAAGAATTAAATTCAGTACTGGGCATTTAAGCCTTCAAAAGTAGAATTTAATCTAACTACACTTAAGTTATTCCAATAAAATTAAATAATATACTAGGTTTCTTAAAGTATGATCCCACTGCTGGTACATATAATGATTTCAGGTGATATGTGAATAACATTATTTATTTTATTCACTTTGTATTGACTAGAACCTGCTTATTTTAATATGCTTTAACAAATACATAATAAAAAGAATTTACATATTAGGAAATGTATAACACACAGAATCTATGATTTCACATACACTATGATACAGGATTCTTTGTAAAAAAATTTTTTTTAAGAAAAATAAAAGATTTTATTTTTAAATAATATTAAGCAATTTAAAATTATATTAAGCAATATAATAGTATAGGTGATATGCAGATAAGGCAAAAATTATAGAGGTTTCTGGTTTTGGTGATTTTTCAAGACTTTTGATAGGAAATCTAAAATATTCAATGAGTATTTTACCAATTATTTACAACCTAATTAACAGGTTGCTGAAAAATTACTATCTTAATTTTTTAAAATCTAGTTATCTTGAAGGTGTCAATCAAACCCATTCAATGACTCTCAGTATATTTACCTTAATAATCTACAAAAGCTCCTCCGATAACTCAGGCGCTGGCTAGCTGCAGCAACACTGGGAGGAAGAGGAGGTCGGGGTGGGAAATAAGCTAGTGTTGCAGAAAATATTAAGCAGACAACTCCAAATTCTGAAAGAAAAAATTGGTAAAATGTTAACCAGGCAACACAAAAAGTTGAGTACTTCAAGTATTTATTTGTTTTTTGAAACAGGGTCTCACTCTGTCACCCAGGCTAGAATGCAGTGGCACAAAACATGGCTCACTGCAGACTTGACCTCCTAGGCTCAAATGATCCTCCTGCCTCAGCCTCCCAAGCACCTGGGACCACAGATGCATGCCACCATGCCAGGCTAATTTTTAAATTTTTTTATAGAGATAGGGTCTCACCATGTTGTCCAGGCTGTTCTCGAACTCCTGAGCTCAAGCGATGTTCAAGCCAACCTCCTGCCTCAGCCTCCCAAAGTGCTGGAATTAAGGTGTAACCCACCATGCTGACCTCTCAGGTATTTATTTACCTAACAAATATTTACTAAGTATCAACTGAGTCTGAGGTATATAAAGATAAGCAAAAGATAGTTTCTAGCTGAGATTGCTCAGTCTAGTAAAAAAAAGAACATGAATATGTAAAGACAGAAAATTCAGCAAATAATTGCTAAGAGGTTATACTAACAAAGATGTATATGCTGGTACTATGGCACACTACACAGATAAAAAGATTGAGGAAGTAAACAAATGTTGCCCTATGGAGAAAACATTAAAAACCAACAGTATCTTACTATAAAAGAGATTGTGAAACAGGTCTAGGATGATTGTCTAATAAGTATGGCACTCAGAAAAAAAAATTGGTAAGAAATAACAGGATAGGAGGGTTGTTTAATTCATGATAGGACAGTTTGATGCACTGTGTAAGACAGCCCCAAATCACAGACTGTATAGGAAATTTGAATAAGAAGGCATCCAAAAATAAAAAACAAAGACATAGAGAATAGAATTTAAACACAAAACTAGCTATTGTAGAGTATTAGACAATCAGAAGTAAAATGAATACCAAAAACAATCTTAATTGGGCCCCATCATAGAAGGGAAGGTTCTAACATCCCAATCTTTCCCTCTATAATTCTGGCACCTGGAAGTTCCAGCTTTTGATAACTGTGTCCAATTTTGTAGGAAAGCATAGCACTAGTAGAAAAGTGAGGAAACGTGGAATATAGACCTGTCTATGCCATTAATTATCTTGTAATTTGAGCAAATCCCTTAATCTTTCTAGGCCAATAAAGGAATTGAATTTAGTGATTTTTACAGGTCCTTTCAGTTGGATAATTTTAATTCTAGGGCTGTATTCTTAGCAAAAAGGACATCATTCCTATAAGACAATTAACCACAGATAATTCTGTTTAATTCAGTTAGAACTTTAAAGATTTCTAATTTTTAAACAGAATATTGTTAACAGGTTCCATTTTTCTTTTCTTTTTTTCAATGTTCTCAATCTGTTTATTTTTTGTCAATCTGAGGAACAACAAGAGGTTAATGAACTGTTCTAATTTATAATTCTTTTAATTATTAGTAATACTGAAGGAGCGTCTTCCATATGTGTATCGGCCATTCATATGTCTTTAATGATTGCCTTATTCATATTCTTTCACCATCTATTGGCAAGTCTGTAAACAACTTCACTGAGATATAATTCACATGACATACAACACACACATTTAAAGTGCACAATCTAGTGGTTTTTCATTTACTAGCAGAATTGTGCAATTATAACCACAATCAATTTTAGATTTTTTTCAACATCCCAAAAAGAAACTCTGTTCCCATTACTCCCAATCTCCCAGCCCTAAGCATCCTCTGATCTACTTTTAGTCCTTACAGATTTGAGTATTATGGACATTTCCTATAAATGGGATCATATAATATGTGGTCTTTTATGACTGGCTCTTTCCATTTAGCATAATGTTCTCAAGGGTCATTCATGTTGGAATATGTAGAATACTTTATTATTTTTTATTGTTAAATAATATTCCATTGTATGGATATACCACATTTTATTTATCCACTTATGGGTAGATAGACATCTGGGTTGTTTCCACTTTTTGGCTATTACAAATAATTCTGCTATGAACACTCATGTATACATTTTTACATGGGTATATGTTTTCATTTCACTTGGGTATGTATCTAGAAGAATTTCTAGATTGTATGGTAATCTATGTTTAACATTTTTAGAAACTATCAAACTGTTTCCAAAGTGGCTATACCATTTTACATTCCCACATATGGGAATGTATGAGGGTTCTAATTTCTTTACTTTCTTGCCAACATTTACTATTTTCCAATTTTCCAAAGTTACACCTACTATTTCCAAAGTTTCACAAAACTTTGCTTTGTGAAGTGTATCTTATCATGGTTTTGATTTGCATTTCCCTAATGGCTAATGATATTGAGTATTTTTTCATATACTCAATGGACATTTGTGTATTTTCTTGGGAGAAATGTGTTTTAGTCCTTTGCCCACTTCTTAATGGGGTTGTTATATAAGAATGCTTTATATAATCTGGATATAAGTCCCTTCTCAGATATATGATTTGCAACTATTTTCTCCCATCTGTGGACTGCCTTTTTCACTTTCTAGGTTCTCTGAAGCACAAAAGTTTTAAATTGTGATGAAGTCTAATTCATCTGTTTTTCTTTTGTCATCTGTGCTTTTAGTATCTTTTTATAAAAAGGCTTCACTTAATCCAAGGTCACAAAGATTTACTCTTTAGCTTTCTTCTAAGAGATTTTTAGTTTTAGCTCTCACATTTAGGTTTGAGTTAAAGTTTATGTATGGTGTAAGAAAAGGGTTCAAATTCCTTATTTTGAATTTGGATATTCAGATGTTCCTCTACCATTTATTGAAAAGACTTTTGCCCTTATTATCTTAGGACCCTCTGAAAAGTCAATGGATCATAAATGTAATGGCTTACTTTTTTAGAATCTCATTTCTGTTCTACAGATTTCTATGCTTATCCTTATGCCAGTACTATGCTATCTTGATTAGCGTAGCTTTGCAATAAGTTCTGAAGTTGAGATGTGAGTTCTCCAATTTTGTTCCTTTTCAAGATTGTTTTGGATATTGCTAGTCCTTTGCATTTCCATGTAAATTTCAGGATCACCTTGTTGACTTCTACAACAAAGGCAGCTGGGATTTTAAAAGGAATTACACTATATTTACAGATAAATTTGGGAATATCTTCACAACATTAAATCTCCCAATGTGAACATGGAATGTCTTCCCATTTGTTTAGGTCTGCTTTAATTCCTTTCAACAGTGTTTTATAGTCTTCAGATTACAAGTTCTGTACTTCATTTTTTAAGTTTATTCCTAAACATGTTATTCTTTTTGATGCTACTGCAAATTAAATTGCATGTTAAAATTATTCATCGCTAATATATAGATATACAATTGATTTTTACATATTAATCTTGTACCATAAAACTTTGCTAAGCTCTTTTTTTAGATCTAATAGTTTTTTAGTGAATTCTAGAGAATTTTCTATATTCAAGATCACGTTCTTTTCAACAGGGATATTCTTTACTACTTCCTTTACAATCTGGATATCTTTTGCTTTTTCTTGTTCAGTGATACTCCCTAGAACCTCCAGTACAGTGTTAAAAAGGCATGGAAAAGCAGACACCCTTGTCTTGTTCATAACCCTAGAAGTTAAATGTGATGTTATCTGTGGGTTTTTTGTTTGTTTTTTGAGACAGAGTCTCGCTCTGTCACCCAGGCTGGAGTGCAATGGTGCGATCTTGGCTCACATTACCACCTCTGCCTCCAGGACTCAAATGATTCTCATTCCTCAGCCTTCCGAGTAACTGGGATTATAGGCATGTGCCATAATGTCCGGCTAATTTTTTTGTATTTTTAGTAGGAATGGGGTTTTGCTATGTTGACCAGGCTGGTCTCAGACTCCTGGCCTCAAGTGATCCTCCTGCATCAGCCTCCCACAGTGCTGGAATTACAGGCATGGACCACCATGCCAGGCCTCCTGTGGGTTTTTAATAGAAGCTTTTTATTAGATTGAGAGTGTCCCCATCTATTCCTAGATCTTCAATTGTTTCTAACTTGAAAGGGTGTTGGATTTGTCAAATGCTTTTTCTTCATCTATTATGATGATCATGTTTTCTTCCCTTTTATCTGCTGATATACGACATAAATTGAGTTTCAAATGTTAAACCAACCTTGCATTGCTGGAATAAATCCCATTTAGTCATGGCATATCATCCATTTAGTGTTGCTGATTCAGTTTGCTAGCATTTTGTTCAGGACTTTTGTGTTTATACTCATATGAGGTATTAATCTATAGTTTAATTTTCTTAAGGTACCTTTGTCTGGAATAATTTAAGAATCTTTAACTTTTAAAAATGACAAATCTAGCACAATATTTTTAATAGAATGAAGTCAGTATTTCAGAAAGGTAGACTGGCAGATATGAAAGCAATGAAGAAGTAACTGGGAAGCTTTGAGCAGGGGCTTCTGCTTGACTGCATGGGAACCATGAGCTGCATGTACTGCACTGATATGTGCTTAACAGTGCTTAACATCATTAAAAATTACAATCATTGCTTATGTTTTCATTAAAAAGAATAACATGACCAAATGAAGTTTAAAACTTATGTTTCACCTGTGTTGGGTTTTATTTACTTATTTTTACATTTTAATTTTTTCTTTAAAAGAAATGAGTTGTATATAGAAGGTAAAATGCTTTAGATACTGCTGCTACCCTTGCTTTCAATTTTAATCCTTCTAAGCCATATTGTGAAATGTAAATATCATCAAATAACTCTCTGACATACAGGTCTTCAGAGTGTGGCCTTTGCCTACAATGTGGTGAAACTCAAACCCTTCAGTCCTGCTTAGAAGGCTTGCATGGGGCTTGCTTTCCTTTCTAGCTTCACCTACTACTACTCTCACCAGATCTAAGCCACTCTGGGCTTGGACGTACCAGGGTGTCTCCCTTCGCTGGGCTTCTCCTCTAAGGATTCCTCTCTATAATATAATCTTCTTCCCGCCTAGTGTATTTAACCATCATTGTTCTCTCATTCCTCAGGCTCTGATTTAGATGCTGCATCTCTAGGGAGCTCTACTTCACCTCCAAAATCTGGGTTAGGTGCTCCTTCTCCAAGCTCTCAGAGCCATTGCAGGCCTTTGGTTTATAAGACTCACTGCTCTGTTTTACAACTATTTACTTGTCTGTATCGTTCAGGACACTAAGTTCTGTTACACCAGGAACTATGCCTATCTCAGTGACTTGCATAGTGACAGATACACAGGAGTTCAAAACATGTTCGTGAAACAGATGCGTGAACAAATAAGTTTAAACAAGGTTCAGAATAACTGGGACCCTTATCATTCCAGTCTCATTTTCAAACCCTTGATACCCACACCCAAACACACACATTTATACCACTCCATGCATACTCAATTACTTGCAGTTCCCTAGACATATTGAGCTCTCTCATACCTTCCCTGCCTTTGCAGTTACTGTTCCCTCTGTATGGAAAACGCTAACCATTCAAATACTTGGTGAACTCCTACAAAATTCTTAACTTTAATTATTACATTCTTGTTGAAGCTTTTCCTGCCCCCTCAACTTCCCTCCAAACCCAGGCAAGTTAGGTCTCCCAACTCTGTATATCTTTATTTGTATTGTAATTGTCTCATTGTTGACATTACCAATTAGTGCTTAGCACAGTGCTTGGCATATAGTAAACACTTACAAAAAGTTTTCTGAATGCAGAAGAAATAATAAGCAGGCATATGGAGACAGGGGCTGTATCTATGGAAATCTGTAGGAGACTATAAGAGTGGACCAGGGCTTGACTTGAGAAATAAAAGAATTCAAAGAGAATATTTTAGGAAGGTCAGTATCCCTGAATAATAGACTAAACATACAGAGAGTAGGAAATGACAAGGATGATCAAGGTAAATAAGGTTAAAAAACACAGTCAATAATGGAGAAACTGCAAGGGAGAAAGGGGGCTTAATATCTATCAACAATAGATGTTTAACAAATGGCTATTGTCAATCATGACATTTTATATCTTGATATTTATAGAGGGCATAGAAAATGTGTTACACGGTGCTTAACTATAAAGGTGAATAGACAACAAATTAAGAACTACCCCTCCATGTGGCAATAATTTAAAATTTAACTTCTAGGAAGGGTATAAGTTTCAAATCTATATTATATGGCAAGGAATGCACAGTGTATGCAAATGTATGTTAGTCCTCTTACTTATTTCATATGGAAGTATCTGTTATATAAAAAGTAGAGTGAAGATGATTGAGATAAAAAACAAAGAATAACAAGAAGAAAATAAACTTCAAATTACCTGCATATAACACAGCCTCTATGCGATCTTTGATATGCGCCCTGCTGCTCTCTGTAGTAAAAAGAGGTGATGTCCCATTGGGAGCTGGAACAACAAGTGGTCCAACTAAAAATGCACATGCTCCCCCAAGATAACTGAGCATTGATGCAATAGCTGTGGCTGTGGCCCTTTCATCTGCAGAAAACCACGTCGTGGAGAGAAATGGCGCTGCATTCATTACAGTTGGACCTGCCAATCCATTTAACATCTGTCCTCCATGAATTAATCTGGAATTTAAAAATTAAAAGGCTGTGAGGTATTTGAAACAGGTATTTTCTAAGACAAAAGAAATGAGCCAAACAGCAGTTTTTTACTGTGGCAGTAAGTATACATATCTGTAGAGAATATGACATGCCTAAAAGATATGTTGATTTACCTTTTAAAAAGGTATGTTGACTCCTATGAAGGAGACCAAACATAGTAACAGTTACCTTTACTCATTTCACAAATATTTACTGATGCCTCTGATTTGTGCCACACATCAAAACTAAGTAATTCTTGTAAGTGCTTAGAACCTTGCTTCATTTAGTTGCTATAACAACATTTTGTGGTAGCTATTATGATCCCCATTTACTAAGATGAAAAATCCTAGGTTTGGAAAGATTAAGAAACTTGCCCAGGTGCTGGCAGGTAGAGTTGAAGTTCAGATCCAGGTCTGCATCCTCCGTCTACTAGACTGCCACTCACTAACAGACCTACTAAGTGCTACCAGTCTTAGAGTTGAGCTCAACATTTCATACCCACTCTTTGCAAAGTGGTGGAAATACAAAAAATAAAATAGTGATTAAAGTATCTTCTAATAGAACAAGTAGTTGAGGAACTGGAAGGCATGGGCTCCAGCAAAGCTCAGAGCTAGCCCTGAACAAAATATAAGTTTGTGGGGTTCCATTTCTTCTCTCGTGAAATAAGGAGATCAGTTTAAGCTGAATATGCGTTTACGGAGCAGCTGTTAGGTTCAGGTATTGTAGTGACAGGATCACTAAGTCCCTTCCAGTTCTCATACTCTGATTCTGACTTTCATTGTAAGGATTAATGAAGAGCAGTTTCTTTCTTCCATTCCATTTATTCTCTTGCTGTCCTTTTCTCAATATTCTACTTAGCACTCTTGTTCTGTGTTGACATTTTCTCCCATTGCTCTCCCATCCCCAATATACGCACTCACAATCAAGAGCAACCTTGAAGTAGAAAAGAGGCCAGAAGTTCAAAAACAGAATAGGCAAGAAAGGGAGACGTGTCAACCTCTCTTGCCTTGGAGGTAGAGGAAAGGGAAGGAACAGTACATGTGACATTTTCATGATATGAACTCATCTTTTTCTTCTGCTTGTTTTGCTTTCTAAGCACTATGTGTGTCTCACATCCTCTTTTTTTTAACTGCCATCTTAAGCCAGCTAGAGAAAAAAAAAGTTTTCTGAATGCAGAGGAGAAAAATAAACAGGCACATGGGAGAGGAAGGGCCCTAATGTAGCAACAGAAGTGAGTGGGAAGTGAAATACATGAATTAGGGCTGCCCATAACTTCATAAATGTTGGAAAAAATATATGAAGGAAACATAGCTCCAAGTGTCATTGATAGTACTAAATTTTAAAAACTCAAGACATTTAAAAATCTCCCTGTGTAAGGGGAGTTATTTTCTAGATGACAGAAGCAATTTAAAGTGTTTGCTTCCTACAAAAGCCAGTGGAAGCCAAGCTGTCCTACAGCAATTCAATCACAGAAATGTTCCAGCAAGAACATCATCGGTGGTTTTAATCACTACAGGTGATGGCACAATGAGACAGTGTGTGATGCCTCATAAAGTGACTGCTTTGATATTTAATACTTTTAATGAAGTGTTAGACTCATGTCAACCAGAAGAAGGCTTGCAATGAGTAAACTTTACTATGTCTAAAAATGTTAAGGGTAGAAGGAGAGCATGGAAGAAATAATGAAAAACAAACAAACAAGAAGACTGATAAAAAAGTAGAACTCCTGGCCAGGCACAGTGAGTGGCTCACGCCTATAACCCCAGCAGTTTGGGAGGCCGGGGTGGGTGCATCACTTGAGGCCAAGAGTTCAAGACCAGCCTAGCCAACATGACAAAACCCTACCTCTACTAAAAACACAAAAATTAGCTGGGCATGGTGGCACATGCCTGTCATCCCAGCTACTCAGGAGGCTGAGGCATAAGAATTGCTTTAGCCTAGGAGGCAGAGGTTACAATGAGCCAAGATTGTGCCTGGGTGACAGACAGATGGACAGACTCCTCAGAATTAAGGTAGAAAACTCAAATTATTGCCATGGCTTGCTTAACTCTTTGTTACCTCTCAGTGGGATCACAAATAGACTATTATCCAAGCAGCAAACATAAGAGTCAGAGAACATGTGAGTTTCAGACAATTTAAGGGCCATCCAAGTCCAGTTTAATAGACTCTTAGACCAGAACATTTCTCACCATGACACAGTACGTGTTAAAGTAGTATCCAAAGAAGGAATAGCACTAGAACACTTCAGATGGGTTCTCAGTTTAAAGGTCCTTGAACTTCGGAGGCCAATCTAGGGCATATATGTTATCATAGGTAAATATCGTCTCAGGAATTAAAACAAGCTGATGTGGTATTTTAAAGTTACTCCAATTTTAGATAATTATTGTGGAGACCGGCTCCCAATACATCAATGTGGGTTTAAGATCTCTCAAAGTGATCAAGTGGTTGGTGAAAAAGACAGACAGACAAGGAAAAAGTTTTCCTTAAAGCTGGGCCCAGGGGAGACACCACATAATGCTGCTCTATGGATGTCTGACATTCCCCTGAAAAACTCAGTTTTTATTGTGCTCTTTCAATAGGGGAGGGGGAGCAAGGTTACCTAAAGTTTCACCAGTAGATAATTACATGCTTTTGCATTATAAAAGTCATCACACACATACACACACATACACACACACACACACACACACACACACACACTCTCTCTCTCTCTCTCTCTCTCTCTTTTCATAAACAAGTTTAGTAGGACAACTAATTAGCCTCTGAATTCATGAGAAACCTGGCAGGGAAACCCAGTCCCACTCCTCCCAGCACTCGTAGTTTTCCAGAACTCAGTTCTGCTCCTTTTCACACTTATATCCTAGTGTCCCCTCAGGGCTTAGCAGTTTCTAATATGATATAACTGTTCTTAAGCACTGTTGATGTTAGAGTAACCTGCAACATCAAGATTTTCATGTTTGCCTGACACTATTTTCTATCACCTACCATTGACAAACCCAACTTTATGAAATAAATTTATAAAAAATATTTAAAAATAAAATCCTTTATATATTAAGTTTAATTTTTCCACTTAATAGGAATGCAAAATTAGAGATATATTTTTTTTGGAAAAATATTGACCCTAACACATAAAATCATATAAATATACCATAACCTCTTTAAAATGATAATAAAGAAAATAAAATATTTATTTATTTTAATAAATAATTATAAAATGTTAACTATGCATTCATTACTTAATTCAACAAACATATATTGAGTAGTCACCATGCGTTAGGTGGACACTGTGACAGGCAAATGGGAATGTAAAATTAAAATGCTAAAGCCCTTGCCCTTAAGAATCCCTAAAAGTAGGTGAAGTATTGCTTACCAAACTATAGCAGGAATATAAAGAAAAAGAAGGCAATAATTAGGCCTGGCCCTATGCTTGTGTTGACTACGACAAGATTACAGACGAAGGTCTCTGCATATCCTTCTTCTCTCCTGACCTCTGGTCCTGGCCTATATATTGGGACTTTGCATATATGTCTGTGGAGCTGAAGGTCCAAACTCCATCTAAGCTCCATCTATCCCCTCCAAACAGCTGCCCCTTAGTATACAGCAGGGATGCAGCCTACTCTTCTGGAAGAGCAGGTCTGAGAAAGAGGCTTGTTGCAAGGCTTGTTTCTGGGGTCTTGTGTAGCTAGTGCATAAGATTAGAGGGTGGAGGGCAGGGTGTGCCCATCCCCTTGGCCCTATAAAATCCTCACCCCACATGGAAGGGCAAGGCTGAAAGAAAGCCAGAACAGGACCCTCAGGCATGGAGTCCAGAACAGGGAATCCATGGCATGGTTTAAAGTAGTATTGGCAACAACAGTAGGGAGGAGGAGGATGGATGGTCTGGAGAACCATTAAGTTAATACAATAGATACAGCCAGGTGAGAGGGTGGATAATGGGGAGCAGGATACCCATAACTCTGTACAAACATCCAATATGTGGCCAATCAGGCCAGAAGCTAAGAAAAGCAGTCTGAGCTGAGAGATATATGTTGGAGGTGGATTGGACTGGAGAATAAACACTGGAGAATAACATTTTTTATATAGAGGCATGGACTGGCTGGATACGGTGGCTCACGCCTGTAATCCCAGTGCTTTGGGAGCTGAGGCAGGTGGATCATGAGGTCAGGAGACTGAGACCATCCTGGCCAACACAGTGTGACCCTGTCTCTACTAAAAATATACACATTAGCTGGGTGTGGCAGTGCCTGCTAGTAATCCCAGCTGTCCAGGAGGCTGAGGAAGGAGAATTGTTTCAACCCCGGAGGCAGAGGTTGCAGTGAGCTGAGATAGCGCCACCTCACTCCAGGCTGGCGACAGAGCTAGACTGCATATCAAAAAAAAAAAAAAAAAAAAGAAAAAAGAAAAAATAGAGGAATGGGAGTCGAGCAAGATGATTGAGAAGGAGCCATTAGAAGGCAGAGAAGAAGTAAAAAAGGAAAGAATGGTTCACGGCAACTAAGGAGAGACGAGTTCCAAGAACATAAGAGCGAGTGGTCAACAACATCACATCAAACAGATCGTTTATAGTAACTGAAATGTAACCACCAGATTCAGAAAAGAAGAGGTCATTTGTGGTCAGGGTAGAAGCAATTTCAGTGGAGTGTTAAGCATGGAAGTCAGACTCATGAGGAAACAGAAATCTAGATTTAGACTATTTCTAGAAGAAACAGATGCAGGAACAAAAATTAGGTATATAAGCTTAGCGAAGTGAACTGAAAAGAAAAAACATGCAGTCACTGAAATACACAACTAAACTGCATTTCCAAAACCTCACAAAGTTATCCAAATGCATATGTCAGATCAGCTCGTTGATAAATTTTAACAAGTTTAAATTCAGTAATACAAGAAAAAAGGTGACTAACAAAGATTCTCAAAATAAATCTTTAAAAAAAAAGATATTTTAGGGCGTTTTAAAAGCAAGGTCAACGTGACATGACTTTCTCAAA